GGAGGAGGAGGAGGAGGAGGAGGAGGAGGAGGGAGGCTGCACGATGGGGCATCGGGTGCTAGGCTGCCTCGGCCAGGGGCTGGAGGTAGGAGCGCTTGCCCCTTGCCAGTGAGAGCTGGGCCCCAGGGCTCGCAGCGCTGAGCCCTCGCCGAACTCAGTTGCCTGCCCTATCACCCCGGGTCAGGATGGGCTACGCCGACCCCTCGGCCAACCGGGATTTACTCGGGAATCGAACTTTGTTCTTCATCTTCATCTGCGCCTTTGCCGTGGTGACCTTGCTGCAACAAATCCTATATGGCCGAAACTACATCAGGAGGTCAGAAAGTCGAACGCGGGGCTGAGGCTGGGGCTGGGGGACGGGCCGGAGGAGTCAGCGGGAGCTCACCCTACGGTTGCTGCTCCGGGGACGGGGCTTCATTTCTCTGGCTTTTTTAAAATGATGTGTACCGCTCCCCTCCTCACCTTTTTGACAGGGGGTACCGAGCAGCATTAAGTTTCCGTGGCAGCCCAGATAAATGCAGCTATCTGAGAAGTCAGGGATCTCGGATGAGTGAGGACCCCTTTAAAGGGCGTTGGGTCTCCCGTGATACGGGAGAACAATATTCATAGCCTGCCTTGCGTCTCCCTAGAGGGAGAACCTTGAATGCTCACATCAATTTTAGCTGATTAGAAATCCATTTGAATGTTGAGGGTCAGTGGCAAGAGTCGAAATTGAGAACTCTGGCCTCGGTTTCAGGGACCTTCACTCCCTACCTAACTCTAGAGTTACTTCTGGAGGCTCCCTTGGGGGAGGTGTAGGTCAAATTCCCTGGGGAGCTTCTTGTTCGGTGAATTTGAGCAATGTTCAACTTGGGGGGCTTGGGAAAATGAGGTTTTCGTAGTGGAGTGGTGTGGAGGATGGGGAGGAGAGGATACAAGAGTGAAGCTGAATTTATATTTTACCTGTCACTGGATTTTGTCATATAAAAAAACAAAAACAAAAACAAAAAATACCCCACCACAGTTTACTCTGTTCTGGGACAGCGGAAAGAGCACTCTGGAGTCAGAGGACCTGGGTTCAAATCCTACCTTTGATTCTTGTGATACTGACAAGTCATTTAACCTGCCTGGGCCTCAGTTTCCTCATCTGTAAAACGAAGGGCTTGTATTAGATGGATGCCAAGGTCCTTTCCAGCCCTAGATCTATGATCCTACCTTTAGATTGGTTTTTGTCATGAGCCAGGGAGAATGCAATGAGAACTGTCAGCCCTTGTTTCTCACAACAAATCCTTTTCACATGAACAGAAATATCCCCAGAAAGTAGGACCTGGAAAATCTATGGAAAAATGATCACTTATACACTTAAACATTCTTCTTCTTTCTGCCTCTGCCTCTCTGAGGGTTGGAAAAAGCTTCTGTTTATTTCTGCTTGCTAAAGTACAGAGCCCGCAGCAGGGCAGTCCCAAGCTGAAGTTACTATTCCGAACCACATTTGTCTTGGTCTACAACTCAACCATCTTTTCCCATGCTGCTAGACCTGCTTCTTCCTTCACCTCACCCCACAAGCTTACTCCCCTAGTAGTTTGAGTTTTTCCAGCATTTTCCTTTGTATTTAAATATCCCTTTCTCACTTTTCTGAGGAGAGAGCTGTCCTTCCCTCCCCCTTGACCGTACATTTCCCCCTCTTCCCCACCCCCAAGAAGCCAGAACTGGTTGATGTGGAGGGAGGAGGGCATTTAAAGTGCTGCAAACTGAACAGCTATCATTTTAAAATAGCTCTCTCAGCTATGTGAAATCACAGGTACCAGATGAGAGAATTTAGACCGGGAAGGAACTTTGAAGATAAGTCCAACCTCCTCACTTTACAGTTGAGGAAACTGAGACACAGAGAAATAAACTTATGTGTCATAGATGGTAAATAGAAGGGCTAGGACTCAAACCTAGGTCAGAGGTGCCTATCCAGTGTGCCTAGATCTGCAGCTAGCCCTCAGGAGGTGACATGACCTTCAAGGGCATTTTCTTCCCCTGAGAGTCAGCAGCTGATCAGACCTGCATTAGACTAGTGGTTTGGAAGGGCAGTTCAGCCTAGAGCCTGGGAGGGTGTTGGAAACCTTAGTACTGCTCTTGTGTTACTGCTGTCATCTCCGGCTGAGTCCTCACTCTCTCCTCCCCACAAGGACAGCCTGGTTCTCAATAGTTCAAATCAATTTTCCGGATTTCCTCTCATTAGCCATAGGTTTTGATGGTTTGTGTTCCTCCCTGTCCTTCCCCCCACCCCTAGTGGTGCTTGCCTCCCTGTAGTCAGCCTTCTGGGTCAGGACATCTTATCAGGAAGGCCTAAGGGCTCAAGCCTGCCACGTGGCTGTCTGCTAGTCATATTGTTCTCTTGGAGCTAGGGGATGGGGTTGGGGGGGACTGGGGAGAGGTGAGGAGGGGAAAGTAGGCAGCATTCCCAGAAAGCTTCTGTGATGTGATATTGGAGCAGTGTAGGGGACATAGGGCTCTACACAGAAGCAAACCAAACTCATTATTACTTACTGTTGTTGGTTTCATTGGGTCAGGATGACCTCATCTTAAAGAGCTAACTCCTCCTAGCAGGATGTATGTACCCCGATGCCTGCCTGACTCCTTAAATCATTCTTGTTCCTGTTCTTGGATCTTCCTACAGTGCTTTGGGACAATTGGAGCAGTCATGTACTGAGAATGTATTATATGCCCAGTTCTAGGGTTTGGGGAGATATCTACATCTATCAGACCTGTCTGGGAGACAAGTCATACACACATGAAACAATTAACAAATAATTAAGTGCTATATGGTGTAGTGTATCATCTATTAAATGTCTACCATAGACAGAGCACTAGTTAGATGAGATACAAAGTCTTCAGGAACTCATGGGGGACTTAGTCCAGTGGGGAGATAAGACTCTAATACACATGTAATTGTATATATATAACATTATGAGGTAAATGCATTTGAGAGTTAGACGTCCAAGTTCAAGAGGAGAGGTTAGCAGGCTAAGCTTCCTGAGAAGTACTGACTACACGAGGGAGCTCAGAGAAAGAAGTCACTGGGCAGAATCGTTAGGATGGGAAGGAGTTTAGACTTGAAATGGGTCTTGAAGGATGAGTAATATTTGAGTAGTCAGATAAGAGGAAGAAGATTGTTCCAAGTTCTCAGCTGTGGGAAATCACAGGTACCTTGGAAGAGAAAACGATAGGCAGGAAATGAGGTTGGATAGCCTGCACAGAGGCGGAGGCAGAAATAAATATGAGATAGGTGGGCCAGTGAAGTGAGGAGGCCTGCACGTCTGAGGCCAAGTCTGTGTGCTGGAGTGCAGGGGAAGATAAGGCTGGAAATATTGGGTAGGATTAGACTGTGGAGGGTCTGAAAAGCTAGGGAGTGGATGTAGTGGTCAATCAGGAGCCTTTTTGGTTTCTTGAGTGGAAGAATGATGTGAGGAAATCACTGTTTTAGAAAGGTGAGTCTAGGTGTGTGTATGTGTGTGTGTGTGAGATGGATTAGAAACAGATACTTCCCAGTGGGAAGGAGTATAGCAATAGTCCCATCCAGGAGTCTCAGATCCTTAGTTCTTAGTTTATTTCGGTCCTCTTTGGAAATCCCAAGAGTTTGTGTCTTTCTCTCTCTAATCCATTCTCCATGTAACTGCCAAAGTGATATATATTTCTTAGGTATGAGTCTGACCACGTCACTCTCCTGCTCAAAAAGGTCCAGTGGCTCCCTATTGCCTCTCAGATAAAACATAGACTACTCCAGTTGTCATTCATAACTACCTTTCCAGACTTATTATGCATTAGGCCCCTTCATGCACTCTATTGCCCAGTCAAACTGGTCTACTTGCCCAGGCAGTGAGTCCTCCCTGTGTGGAAATGCATTCCCTCCTCATCTCTACCTTTTAGAATCCCTAGTTTCTTTTAAAGTTCAGTTTAAGTGCCATTTCCTACATAAAGCATTTTCTGATCCTCTCAGTAGCTAGTGACAGTTCTCCATCCTCCTTTTGCCCCATTACCTTGTAGTTACTTTATATAGACATTTTTTAAAATCATGCTGTTTCCCCTAGTAGTTTCATTTTTGTTTTTATATCCCCAGTGCTTAGAAGAGTATCTGGCGCATAGTAGGTACTTAATAATTGCCTATTGTCAGAATGATTGATTGATTCTTTAATCTTGAGCTTGTTTGGTGTCATTCTATTAAACGCTCTCATTGTTTTAAAGTTCCAAGCTCTCAGGGCCATTTATTTCAAGTCACAAGTCACTTGCACTTGTTCAATGACAAAGTTAGACCTGTGGAGAGAGGGGGATGTTAAGCCCAATTCTTCATGCTTCTAAACTGCTTCCATTGTTGTAAATTAGGGAACAGCATGAGCTTTCAGGGATAGCACTCTGAAAGCATCCCGACCATTAATGGCTCTCAAACATACTCCATTGGTTAAAAGGGAAATGACCAAGAGGGTGTGAACAGTTAGCCCCACCACTGGAGAAACAGATTGGGGCATGCTGTGTCCTACCTATGGATGAATGGGAGCTTCTCCCTCCTCTTCCTCCTCCTCCTCACTCACCTATATATAGATTGCACTTTACTGATTACAAAGTATCTTTACACACATTCTCCTACCTGCTCCTCAGGAAAGAGGTAATATCGATATTATTATCCCCATTTTACACATGGGAAAACTGAAACTAATGAAGTAACCTGCCCACACTCTCACAGTTAATAAGTGACAGAGGTTTGCTGACGCCAAATCTTGACCCTTTCTACTACATTGCAACTGCATCTTGGAGCCGCTAGGTGGTGCAATGTCTAGAGTCGGATATGACTGAACAACAACTCATCTGCATCAGACAGGCCTAGTCCAAAATAGAATGTGTATGTAGCTTCCCTCCCTTAGAATGTAACCTAAGAGAGGGTAAGCCCAGGGTCATACAGCTAGTAAAGTGTGAAGTGGTTTCATGGATTCCACAGGATTCCATACCTAAGAAAGATGGTTGGAAGAGAACTTCTGGGCACCGAAACCTCTAGTCGTCCATTGTGATAACCTGACCATCAGGGGTCTTCTTGGCCCTAGGTCAAGTACTCTATCTACTACCAACCCATTTTTATTGATTGCCTATTTTTTGCCTTAACCTGGGGTAAAAAGATCAGAAGAGACATAAACCCTGTCCTCAAGGATCTTTAGGGAGGTTTGTTAAAGGGAGGTGAGACAAATGTGTGCAACAGCTAGTCAACAATACAAAATTGAATCATACAGATTATGGTGTTTCTTAAGTGAGTAATTTCAGCGCTTACAAGGACTTGCCTTACAACAACCCTGTGGGGTA